ATACCCAAATAGCACACGATATAATATGTATATGCGTTTTTGGTCCATAATGTGGAAAAGATATACAGTATATTCAATGTATATTGTTTTTTTATGCTGAATATTCAGATAGTGGTATGTATATTCATACTATGTACTAGATGTACCTAGAAAAGATATAGGACGTACCCTGTTTTACACAAATTGTTTTGAAATATAACCACTACATTTTGTGTTTAGAATCTGCGATACCTATATACTTATATTTGTAGGGTGTTTTTCGCAAAGTCTAAAACTTTGGCCCTTTTTAATAAAATTTTACAAATATTCCCAAGATATTTCAGACCTATATGTATAACAGATGCAATGTATGCTATATGTATATTTACTACTGTAGGGTCTATTTTCAAATCCAATTTGTCAATCTGGTTGCATGTATATTCATACTAAAAACATAATATGTGCTATGTATATACTGATTCTGAATGTATTCCTTCCTTTGTTTTTTTTTAATGAATAAACAAAGATCCCTTATTTTCACTCCTTATCATGACTCATGAGATTTCAAATAAGTATTCAAAAGTGAACAATAAATTAAAACGAATTCTTTCGCGCGTAATGGAATGACGTTGCAGAAAGCACATTACCCTATGCGTTGATCACGTGTTCTCTGTACTCGTCTAACATGTAAGAAAAGCGAATATTCATCTCTTTTTACTTATAACCTCGTGACCTGAGTTCGTTTTCGTTCGATTCAGGTGTATTCTTTTTACATTATAAGTGAGGAAATCGACTAACTTAACTAAGACAAACTGAGCTGCATTTATCTGAGTCAATAGTTCGCTAAAAATAATATCTTTTTGGGTACAAGCAAGAAAACATAACCTTAAAATGTTTGTTGATGAGTGATAATTAATTCTTTGTCTTTTTTAAATGTTAATAGTCACATCACAACTAACTGAAAATAATGAACGAATGAAAAAGTATGTTAAAAAATTGCCACCATTTACAATATCTAAACGTTTAGCAACAATTTTTCGATGAAGACTCTTCAGATTTAGAATGGTTCAGCGATTCGTCTTCAGGAAACGTGGATTTTAATTTCTTTATTGATGAATATAGAAAAAAGCATGTACGTGTACAAAACTATGTGAACATTGTGGACATATATAGTCACGAACAATTTAGACGGCATTTTCGGTTAAGCCGAACAACTGCAGAGCTATGTATGTAAGAATTTATTTGTTTGACAAATCACTGAATAATTATTTTGTAGGTGACTTGGAAAATGCAAATGTTTTACCAACACACACATATGGTAGGGAAAAAGTATGCACACGAAAGGCGTTTTATATGAGCGTTTGGTACCTTGCAAATGAAGAGACATATCGACAAATCAGTGACCGTTTTGATGTATCGGAAAGTGCCGCATGGCTGATCATAAGAAACGTAGTCGACTATTTGGTGACCAAAAGCAACACCGTTATTAAATGGCCTACTGAAGAGGAAGCAATGATTATTGAGCAAGAATTTTCAGAAAAACAGGCATAAGAGGGATCACTGGTGCAATCGATGGATCACATATTTTGATCAATAAGCCAAGGGCAAATCAACATGCTTACTGTAATCGAAAAGGCACCCACAGTATTATAATGCAAGGTGCGGTGGACAGTAGAAAACGTTTTATAAATGTATTTTGCAGCGAGTCGGGTAGTTTACACGATGCACGTGTTTTTAAAAGATCACCACTTTATCATCGTGTCATGAATAACGAACTGCAATTGAAAGACCGTTTTTTGTTAGGGGGTTCCGCATATCCGACCACTTTGAACTGGTTAATAACGCCATATAAAGACAATGGAGGTTTGTCTCGACAGCAGCGTAACGTTTAATTACAAACATTCCTCTACAAGGGTTATAGTGGAAAATGCCTTCGGCTTATTGAAAGGGAGGTTTAGAAGACTCCGGTATTTTGAACACAAACATATAACATTTATCGTAAAATGTGTCATTGCTGCCTCCACACTGCACAATATATGCATAGATTCTGGAGATCCATTTGATGATATTGACCAATATTCTGAAACAGATACAGAAGGGATTGAAGAAAATGTTGATGTCGAACCCGAACAGGTTATCGAAGGAAATCCGGTAGATGGGACTACACGCAGAGAACAAATTTGTAGAGCACTAAGAGACTAATTCTCAATGTTATTATTATTAATAGGAACGTTGAACAACTGTATAAAATATAACTTAAGTTTAAGCTAACAGTAACACCCTAAGATTAAAAAACTAAAATATAAATGCTGTACATAAAAGTGGTATCTTTTCATCAAAATAACATAAGTAATGAATAATGATCAAGGCTGTATACGTAAATAAACTTATTTGTTGTTGCTGGGTGGTCCAGTAATTCCTGCAATCTTTTCTAAAGCGATCACTTTTCTTTCATCTAATAATAGCTTTTTTTCTAGTAGTGCCAGTTTCCTTTCCTCCACTGCCCGTTTCTCGTCAATTTTTGATTGGAGACTTCTTACTTCTTCGCGAAGCTTCATTAAAGTGGTTTTTTGTTTTCTTTGAGGGTTTTTTTTCTGTTCACCTATATCCGTACCATTTTTATTATGGTCGTCCTCGATGTTACCCTCACTTGCTTCTTCTGCAGGAATTAAAGAACCAGACGGGGATTGTATAGGAGTTTCGATGCTTTCGGATGTGTCGATAGAGTGAGGAGAAGAAATACTGGGCCCATTGCCCACAATTTCCTCTAATTCATTAAAGAATAGGAAACGAGTCGGACACCTTCCTGTTTTCCCCTTCATGTCTTTATAATTCTTATACGTTTTTAGTAAATTTTGCCATTTTTTTTGCACGCTTCCGGGGTAACTTCAATTTGTTGGCTTATCAAATCATTGCTGATGTTTGACCATACATGCTTTCGGTGTTTCACATGATGTAAATGATCCTTATTTATAGGCTTCCACGCTCCCTATCAGAGCACGCGTTTCCTCGTAGGACCAGGTTTTTCTTTTGGCGTTTTCTTCCGCACTTCTCCCTGCACTGTCATTTGGTGCTGAATCTTCCGGAATCTATAAATAAGTACCCAAAAAATAGATGACTGCAGAACTAATAGTATATGTACATACATTTTGTGGTGTGTTTTTGCCATTATCGGAAGCGTCCTCATTGTACATTGACTTGTCGGGCCCGAAAACATCATACACAATGTTTTCTTCAATGTACACAAATGCTCCATCTACGCAAATTGATTAAAGATATAGATAATAAAAATTAATTATGGCTTACCTGCAATGCGTTGCGTTAAAATTTCCCCATTATCATTTTTTATATAACAACTATTTTGATCATACACTGCATTGAATGAATGGGTACTAAAGTTTATTGTTGACATTTTTACACAATTATAACCTCAAACTTAAAATTCCAATCCGGCTCAATTTAAAACTCTACCTAACAGCAAGCTCAGTTGGGGTAAAGGGGGAGGTAAAATGACTTAGTTCGTCTCAGTTGTTGACAGCTAAAAAGAATAACTTTTCTCAATTAGTAACTGAGATAAGCTGAGACGCTCACTTAAAAGTGGTAAAAAGAATACAGCTGATGTAAGTACACGCAAGTGGAAAATTACTAAATTACCTAACCTATTTGTCGCTGCTGTTTCCGTTGATTTTTAAGATTTTTCTTTTTATTAGATCACCAGTTTTTGAAGTGTTATGTTAATAACAATTGGTAAGGTACTTATTGTTTGGATTATTTAAATGTGTATCATTATGTAAATGCAGCAATTACTATGGATAGCAAAATGAAAAAGAAATTAAGTAGGAACACGAGGGAAGGTTTAAAAATGTCCTTAAATATAATTTCTGGGAATGGTTCTGATGTTATTGAGGGCATTGCGGGGTAGGTGTACTAATTTTATTAAAGTTCATTACGAAGTATAGAATTTTGTATTTCAGTCAACGTTTCAGTTGTGAAAGTTCCATTAATATCAACGTTACTAGTTGTAGTAATCCCGGTGCACCTGATTTACAGAATAATTCTGAATTTGAAGAACTACTAGCAACGTCACATAATTTATCGTCAAATTCTGGAAATGATTTTGACGTAACCGATCAAGTTCGGGTTATGCAACCAGGATATTTTTGTTATTTTGGTATTGGCACCACTTTGCGTAATTTATTTACAAAGTTCAGTTACACTCCGTTAGAAAATAGCATCATTGAGTTAGGAGTAAACATTGATGGATTACCTATAAGTAAAAGTGTTAAATCTACATTTTATCCCATTTTATGTAACATCAAATCGATAGAAATATTTAAAACTCATATTTTATTAATTGGGTTATATCATGGAGCTGATAAACCTATGGATTCAAACGATTTATTGCAAGAATTTGTGGAAGAATCTATCAGTTTATATAACAATGGAATTATTTTGAATGGTATTATTTGTAAAATTCGAATTGTGATGTTAACTTGCGATTTACCTGCAAAATCATATGTGCTGAAAACTAAAGGTCACATGGGGTATTTTTCTTGCTCTAAATGCAAGCAAGAAGGTGACCATGTTGAAAGAGTATTGTGTTTTCCCGAAACAAGTTTTATAAAAAGAACTGATGATGATTTTCGTAGACAAACTCAATCTGAACATCATATTGGTTGTAGTATATTAACGAAACTACCACAGTTCAATATGATTAGGGATGCTCCCCTAGATTATATGCACCTAATTTGTTTAGGTGTTGTCAAAAGAATTTTGGCAGGTAAAAAACATGGGCTAATTTTTGGGAAACCTCCATACAAATTACCAAGTCGTGATATTAATAATATATCGGAGAGATTAAAAATTATGAGTAAGTTTATTCCAATGGAATTTTCCCGCAAAACAAGGCCCATTACTGAATGTAGATTGTACAAGGCTAGTGAATTTAGATTTTTTTTATTATATGCAGCACCTGTTGTGTTGAGAGGTATTGTGAAGAAGGCAATCTATAACAATATTCTTACTTTACATTTAGCAACATCTATCTTAATCAGTAGGGAATTTCATTGTCATTCTGATTATCTCAAATATGCAAATGATTTAATGTTGCATTTTGTACAAACGTCTTTAAAATTATACGGAGCAGATTTTGTTGCACACAATGTTCATTGCTTATTACACATTGCTGACGATGTGAAGTACTTTGGGGAACTAGACAACTTTAGCGCATTCCCATATGAGAATTATATGCAAAAGTTGAAAAATATTTTGAGGAAACACCATAAACCTTTGCAACAAGTTATACGGAGAAGCATGGAAACTGAATTTTTAAATTCGATGGGAAATATAGGTAGTAATGAAATTACTCCTTACTGTACTCAAGAACATTTTGATGGGCCTACCATAATAGGTTGTAACAAACAATTCAAAGCGATCAAATTAAGTAATTGCACTATTAAATTGAATCGTGCCGATTCTGTAGTGCAACTAAAAACTATGGAAATTGTCCGGGTGTTTAATATTTGTACAACTGAAGATGATATCAAAATTGTTGGCAAGGAGTTTATTGATAAACAAGAGTTATACTTACAGCCTTGTTCTTCGTCTATTTTTCATATCTATGAATGTCAACAATTAAAACCAACTTTTTCGTCGTGGTCGATTAACGAAATCAATCATAAAGTAGTGCTGTTACCACATAAAAATGGTTTTGCTGCTTTTCCAATGTTGCATTAATTTGGATTTGAAATATTTTTATTGTACATGCTACCTATTCAATGTACAGGGTTTTAAATTAACATGGAGAAAAAAACAAGTCCTTGGATGGTGGTTCGTTTTACAAAAGAAAATTGTGTGGAAATGATACCTAGCAATTGGTACATGTCCAAATCGTCAAAGTGTTATTGGCCTCCGAAAAAATCAAATAAGGAAATAAAGAACCTTTTATTGCAAAGACATTCTCCATCAAAAGAATGGGCGTTATTTGATGTTGTTCTCTTAGGACAATATGGTAAGTTTCTTGTCTAGGAATAATTATATATTTCAAATCTTTTCTTACAGCTGATGTAAGTAAGGCTAGCAAAAAGGCTTCCAAAGCTAGAGAAACCGATGAATTAACAACCACATGTGATGAAAATGTTGAGAATGTAAAAAGAAGAAGGAACAAAAATAGGAAATATAGTTCGTCATCTAACTCAACTGCTTCTGAGGCAGAGTCAGTGGACGATAATGATTACCCTACTCCACCAAGATCAACCGATGCTAGTCTCCATCATGAAAAAGAACAAAGTTCACGAGCCTCATCGAAAGGATCAACTGTGTCAGCTGTATCATTATCTTCAGATTTGAGGCATGATGTGAAGCAACCCCAAATTAAATCTTCATCAAATAAGTCTACCCTTATGTCAAACAAGGATTCTTTCGAAGGTATATGCGCTTTTTTTTATTAGATAAACAATATGTTTGCTGCAGAATTCCAGAGACAAGTGTTGCGACAACTGCATTTGATTAATGCAAAACTCAACCAACACTCAGAAAATTTCAATGTCATATTGCAAGGCGTTAACAATCCTACATTACCTGGCAATGTAGCAGTTGTTCCTATATTTGACTTGGGAGAAGTTAAAGATTTACTTCCAATTTCATCCGAGACAAATTTGAACGAATAGAAGAATTGCTTGCTAACAAGGATTGTGCCTCTTCATTTGTAGGTATTAAGGGTTTATATAACAAATCACTACATGATATATTTTAGGCAGTTGAATTAAGTCGAACTGGTGGAGAAACTGTAACTGAAATTACAAAAAGGATCATGTATAAGCTGTTCAATAATGCAATTGGAATGACATTCAGCTGGGACGGAGCAAAAGGGAAGAAAAAGTTTAAACAACTAAAATTAGCAAGTGTAATCATAGGTATGGATATTTTATAAGGTGGGATTTTGTTTTGTATGTTTTATTTCGTTTAGATAGTGTGAGATTAAACAAGAGGACGCAGCAAGCAGCTGATGACGAAATAATTAAAATAATCAAATCATGGTTGGTTCGGGCCAAGGACAGATATCATAATAGTAATCGAGCAAGGTAACGTACGATATTAATGTTTAATAATAGAACATAAATTATACTGTTTTAGCAATCTACAACAAACTGTTCAAGAAGAAGCAGCTGCCGATAATCTCTAAAATGATGTATTTTATATGCCTATATATGTGCAAAATTCATGATTTTACATAAATATTTCAGTTACAATTTTCTTTATTTCTTGGTAGAACTGCATGTAAGTATATAACATACGTATGTACATTTCACATTCGTATTATATATACATGTATATTCATAGTGTGTACGATGTAGATTATTAGAAGTTTCACTGAATATGAAACAAATCCATAGTACCTGTGAAACATATTCATAACATGTGTTATGGATGTACCCATCAATATTCTCAGTATATTCATTGCATATACAGATGTGGAACCAATGTAATATACATATCATGTACCAAGAACATACACAATGTTAAATATGTACATACATTGAATATTTATATATCCATCTAGGCATATACATTTAATATGCATACCATATACTTGTGTTATTTGGGTAATCATAATATCGACTTAAATCGTTATTTTTTTGTTATAAATAAATTCACAGAAGCTAAACTAAATTTGTACTTTGCAACTAGCAACACGCTACAGAACATTTCTTCCGCTACAAAATACTGAAATAACAGACCCTACTTTGGTGCACGCTTTACCGTTATCAACTGCTACGCCATATGAAAATAAAATGTCTCCTCTATAACAAAATATCAATAGAGGTTGCGATCTCTGCTCTCCGATCTTTGCATAATAAAACTTCGTAAAGGAGGCCTATATTTTAGATTAACTTAGTTCATTGTATATACCTATAAAATAAAGCACAAGCGGCGTCGAGAATAAATAGCCACTTAGTGGCTACGAAGAACCTTTTTATAAAGCTATCCTATATTCACTGTTGGAGGGACGAATTCGCATAAATTGACCTTAAGATGTATTTCATATAAGCTATGAAATAAGCATTTATCTCTGATCCTTCTGATGCGGCAAATAAAGGTGGGGTATTATGATTTACTTTAGTTATCGAATTAAACACTTGCCAAATCTCGCAGTTGTCATTTAATCCAGCTGCGGGATTCTGAAAAATAAAATTAATTTCAATATAAAATCCACTAAGCAATGGAGCATTTTAGCTTCACTTGGGAACAGTCGCTTTAGTAATTGGATTTTTTTTTTGCCTCGTTAACCATCAACTATCCATGCATTGTCTTTTATTTTACTTTTTCCTCATTTTCATTTGTTGGGGGTTTCTTTGGATATTGTTTATTTAAGAAGCGTAATTACATATAGCCCCCAATCGACCCCTTAATCAGTTTAATATCAACAATCTAAGGAGAGTTCTGGAGTTGTCAAACGTGTAAGGAAGGAGGCTTTCATAGTATGGTCAACTTGTTTTGTCTTTGCGACCAAGTTTGTAGAGGGGGAATACTAATACAAAATGCGCAGTCTAAAAATTTTCAACTTTACCTATCTATAAAAATTCGAAAAATTTAATAGTATATTAAGTATGGAGAACGGTAAGGGATTTTTACCGTTCGAAGACAATTGTTTGGAGGGGGAGCGAAGCGACGACTCCAATTATTGTCTGAGAACGGTAACCCTTAACGTTCGACGTGCTTATAACATTTTTTGCGCGATCGAAATTAAAATTATGCAACCAATATAAATATGCACTAAGAAATTAACGAGCAGAATGAATCGAAATGATCGAAGTGGTATGGTGTACATCACTAGGTAACCAGTTTACTTGTCAAAATTGAAATGAATAATTTCATAAAAATGTGCATGTGTCTGATGTAGTTTACTAGCTTTGCACTTCCTTTATGACTTTATGAGCGTCTTGCTATAGGAAACAACAGCACAAATTGTACGTTTAATGTACCTAACAATAATTAAAGATTAAATGTAATGTAAGACTGTTGATTTTTAAAAAGGCGTCGGTAAGTATTTTTGCTGTTCTGTTTTTAGATCGGTAAGTAATTTTGGCGTCGTCGTAATCATAGCAACTGGTAAATGCTACGTACTGTCATGGAAACACCCATGGTAAATAGTCAGAAATGACCGATCGCGCAAAAACGCTATTTAAATGCTACATACAGGGAGATTCATATAGCCCGTTCGTTTGAAGTTTTCAAACTTGCAGTTGAAATAGAAACTTGAAATTTGGTTTACAACCATAATCGAGCATTGCGAGTCGAAATAAAATAATTTCAATATGGCGCCGCTTCCGGAAATGCCGGAAGTGCCGCCATCTTAGTTTTTTTTAAAAACCATTTTCTATTTGTTTTAAATGCGTTATTTTATTCTGAATTCAACGCAATAAGGATTTAAGTACCTATGTATCATAGTTTGTAAATTTTAATTGTAAACATACAAGTTTCCTATGTTCAATTCTAAACTATACATGTCAATGCCCTGACAGTTATGCAACCCACTACACACAGATATTTGACAGCAGCGTAAGCAAAAGAAACAGTAGTTATTTTAGGTATTCGATCGATTTTTTAGCGCTATGGTCTGTGAGACTGGTGGACTGAAAATGTGCGAATTATTCTTGGTGGGGGTGACGCAAGTTGCCGATATGCACAATACCTTCCTATTTTAGTTCCTCAAGTGTATAGCTTACCAGTTTGGATTATAGAAGCTTCTGGAACTGATAAAAAACAAGCGATATCAGTATCAAGGGGACAATTTCTGGAAGGATATCCACAGTGATGAAAAGTAGACAGCACATTGCCTATACCAGAAGATCATATAATGTAGTGTTCGCCCATTGGGATAGTGTACGCAAGAAATCCACCGATCTGCATAAATTCTACTCCCCACCGTAAGGTACCGCCCGACATCCATCCCAATCAATGAAATAACCTTAGGGTATCACACTACGTAAATCTCATTTGCACGCTAAAAGATTTGACAACCATCTGGAAACAATCCTTGCTGGGGATAGTGAAATAGTCACTAGAATTCATCTTGCAAAACACACAATACCTACTCCCTGATCTCCCTGACTTCGCCACTCGTTCGTGTCATAGGAGGCGCATCGGCGTTTCCGAGGGCGATATTTGTCCGAGGTAGGGGGTTTGCGACACCCCGGTCCATCGTGTTCTCGATTGTCGAGAGTACTTCTCGATTGTTCTGGAAATTGATTAGCACAATTCAATTTCAATTTCCAAAATTTAAAATGACCGCCATTTTGTAAGGTCCATAATTCGGAAACAAAAGCGAAATGAAAAAATTTACTTTAAAAAAGTGATAGCTTTGACGAATTTTACAACCTATATTGTGTTGCCCACTTTGAGTAGAAACACCCTGAATAATTTTATTGGTTTTGGAAAAAAGGGTTAGTTTTCACCCCTAAAAAATTAAGAGCACCCATTGGCGTAATATAGATTTTGAAGTGAAAAGTAAGTTTAATCCCAAATTTTATACAAGTCGATGAAGTTTATCTTTTCCGATTGCACCATAAGCTCTATCGCGGTGAAATAAAACTGTCACTTTTATTTAATTGGCTTATGGCACTGGTCCCCGACAAAACGTAGACTTTCACCCCTATACTCGAACAAACCCTCTCCCGGATAGACCGTCGTGGTTACTCTCTCGAAATCAGAGTCTTAATTTTCGGTTTACTTTTAGCTGCACGGCTAACAATCCCACGATGAAAACACTTAATTTTTTACTTCACACTGTACTGCGAGCTACACGGCTGGTTGCTTCCGTAGCTGTATCTCGGTAACGAGCCACTTTAGGAAGTTGCTTAAACTTTTTTTGGTCGTAGAAGCCGGCAGTTTTTGTAATACCCTGTATATGTTTTTATTTTTCCGAATTCTACATTTTTCTCATCGCTGAAACGAATTTGAAAAAAATAAAATGTACACCGACATTAATTTAATAACATTTAATATCGATAAAACAGTTTCATAACTATAAATTTTAATTCTTGTATGATTAATCAGTTTTCACTGATCAAGCATTGGACGGCAGTCAGGGCAATAAAGTGACACAACGGTAAAACAAATGGGGAAATATAGCTCTAGTGTAAACATACATTTTAGAACCTATGCAATAGGCAGCTTAGGATCCATTTGTCATGCTTATGAATGCCTTACTTTGCTTCATTACCTTAATTGTGTTTCAAATTATAGCAACAACTATACAGTTTCGTTCTAAACTGTGCATCGATAGACTATAAATATGACACAGGCCATTTCTATTGAAAGAAAGCGCCTTAAACTTTCTGTGAACATAAACTTTATTCCCTTTTATGGGCGATCTGGGGTGTAAAGCAATGTGAATTATTTGCTGCCATTTAAGCGCCAAGTGTACGTTTCGGATATTCGTGGAAAAGGAGTATTATTTGAAAATTATTCCAATACGTTAGTGTATATCCATGGTAATGTTTCGTGCTATCAATTTATATAAACGCTCCTAACTGCTTCAGTCGCCCATATTGCTACATTTTTTATTTAAATTACACACGCTATACACATAAAAATACATTTTTCCCTGTGACATATCGCAAATTGTTCGTTAAAGTTAAAAAAGCATTCAGACACTATTTGCATTGTAACCTTTGCAATATGTAAAGAATTTCTCACCTGACTTTTACCGCACATTGTGTAGTATGATCTTTGGCACATTATAATTTACCATACTACTAATGATGGTAAAAAACTTTACCATGGAAATTAAATCGCAATATCTACTATTAGGACACTGTAATCAATTGGAGTTCCATTGCTACCGGAATCACGTCCAGTAGAAGCAATTAGCAATAATTGCTGCAACAATTTCTCCCAGAATACACAGACATTTATTTCAAGCTTTCCGTGAGGTTATTTCACTGCCTTGCGTTAATAATAAAAATATTTTGAACACTTATCGCGATGAAAAAACCATTTTATCGCTAATTTCATGTTGTCTTCAAGGTTTAATAAGAACCGTACACGTTCATTGGTTTTATTTTCTTTTAGGATATCTAGATTAATGTTATTGATGTAATTTTAATACACTTTTTTGAAAAATTTTCTTTTATTATGGTACTAACATGTTACATCATCGAAAAGAGAAAAAAAATCTCTATCAAATGAGCAAAATGAAAAGGTGCACTGCCATTTAAAAAAATTCAATTGTTTTCGTTACTATTTTGTTTTTTGAAATAAAAACAACTGAATGCTGCCTTATTATGGGAAGTGAAATGTATCATATAAAAAATTTTGTATACATTCGATATTTACCGAGATATATACTATATTCCATATATAATGGACACCCTGTATAACACACCTAAACAATAATCTGAAAGGGTAAAAGTGTAACAAAAAATCACACCTGCATATTTCATTGAATATAAATGTATTACCAAATTAAACAGTCATTAATCTGAGGATTTAACGCATCCATCTGGCATACATTTATTATTATCAAGAACGAAATCATCGGCAGTACGATCAATCTCTCTCAAAAACATCAAAAAGAGCACTACACG